TGGTCCATGGTTTATGGCATTATATTTCAGAATGCTCTGTCTCCATATCAACGTGTTTGGCCTAATTCTCTAACTTGACAGCTAGTTTGTAGTGTATTTTACATGTTTTATGTGAATTTTGTGTTTTATTTTGTGCGCATGCCCTTTGGCATCTTGGAAAGCGCACATTTTTTTGTTGTCGAAACTGTCCGTTCCACACTTGCTCTTCGGCCTTTTTTCTAGCTCGCCTTGAGTGACGGCTGCGTTTTTGTACGTCTTGTACCTTTTCAGTTTTGAAACATTTCTTAGTCTTTGTACTTCTTCTAGTTATGGATACTGGTATGGAGACGTCGTCTACACCGTCCAGCGAGATGGTTGGAATCCTGGAAAATATCCAAGCCAGCATGCAAAGCATTGCTGATCGTGTAACGAGAATCGAGGATAGTCAAAGACAAAATCCTTCGACTGTCTCATTCCTCGGCACGTCCACACCATACAAGGAGCAAAGCTCCAAGTCATGGCCGGATGATAGCAGTGTGATGGAGGAAATGGAGAAAGAGACGGAAGAGTTGGACTCCAAAGGGGTCAAACTTTTTCCTGTGTCTGATTCAACTATGGGTTTGTTGAAGTCGAGTTTTTGTTCCGCCTTGCCGAATCCGAGCAGGCGACAAATTCGTGACAAGTTTGGTGCCCCAAACTGTCCGCACTCGGCTTGTCCTGGACTTGACAAAGTCATGAAGTCCAGGATGTCCAATGAGACAAAGTCTCGAGACAAACAATTGGCGCGCCTGCAAAGCTTGGGCCTGGACGCCGTTGGTCCCCTAACTCGAGTGTTGGAGGGAGCAGAGAGTGGGGATATCTCTGCTTGCGAGATATTGGAGGCTGTACAGTCAGCAGTAAAACTCCTCGGGAATTTTTCGGCCCAATGTAATCGGGAACGCCGTCAAATTGCCCTCTCTAGTCTGAACCCCCGCATTGCGGATATGGCTGAGGATGACTCCATTTTTACCGAAGCCCGTCAACATTTGTTTGGCGACGGCTTTTACAAGAAGGCGAAGGAGCGTGATGACGAGATGCGGGTGCTGAACAGCGTTGCAGCCAGCAAGACCCATACCCAGTCAGCTCCTGCCAAGAAACCGAGCGGTTTCAAGAGCCACCAGCCGGTTTTTCACCGGGACTCCCGCAATTCCCGTGGAGGATTCAGGGGACGAGGACGGTACCAGCCTTACGCAGGCAATTCGAGCTTCAGCCACGGCAGCAGCAAGAAGTCCTCGGACTCTGCCAAGTGACATCCAGCTCCAACAAGTCCAAGTCCAGCACACGAGCATCAGCGGGACCAGAAGTGCCTCCTCATGAATCATTTGAAAGAAATAAAATTTCTTCCAAATATGTCTCAATCTCCGCTTATGGTGTGCCTGAAGGACTTGGGTTTTGTGGACATGGCTCAAAGCATAGCCTTACAGAGTCCTCCCCCTGCAGGGAAGATACAACTTTTCATTCAAAATTGGAAAGTTCTCACATCCGACCGTTGGGTACAGGATTGTGTGCAAGGGTATGCAATAGATTGGATTGCTCAACCCCATCAAGTGAAACCGCCCCACGAAATAGTCTTTTCCGGGGAAGAGATGAACTGTCTTTCACTAGAAGTGCAAAAGATGGTAGAGAAACATGCTGTTACGGAAGTACAGATGAAGAAGCAAGAGAAAGAATTCATTTCTCAGTTGTTTGCAGTCCCGAAGAAGGACGGGGGTGTGAGACCAATAATAAATCTGAAGAGTCTCAACACCTTTGTGAGGAAAGTTTCCTTCAAGATGGAAGGAATTCACACTCTCAAAGACCTGCTAAAGCAGGGCGACTGGATGACGAAAGTCGATCTAAAGGACGCTTACTTTGCGATCCCGATAACGCCGGAACACACATCCTACCTGAAATTTCAGTGGATGGGAAAGACGTACCGGTTCAACTGCCTACCTTTCGGTCTGTCGTCGGCTCCATGGGTCTTTACCAAGACCACGAAGCCAATAATGGTTTTTCTCAGGACACTCGGACTGAGAGTAATCATCTACATAGACGATATTCTGATTCTGGCAGAAAGCGAAGAGAAAGCTCGTCAACACACAATGTGCCTGATCTTTCTACTCGAAAACTTGGGTTTCACAGTAAACCAAACCAAATCCCAAGTGATTCCAACCCAGGAGACAGAATTCCTCGGGTTGACAGTGAACTCCGCAACGATGGAGCTGAAGTTACCCTCAGACAAGATCAAGAAGATCAAGTCCGAGGCGAAAAGTCTACTGCAAGCAGATGCCTTGACGGCGTTGGCAGTTTCCAGATTTCTGGGCAAACTGAACCATGCGGCCCAAGCAATCGCTGCGGCACCATTGTTTTACAGACACCTGCAGAGGTGTCTACAAGTGTCTCTCGAGGAGGGGAATCAAGAGTACTCCCATCCTTGCCATCTGTCACCAGATGCCAGAGAGGAACTGACATGGTGGACGGATCACCTGTCTCACAAGAACGGGAAACAACTCCTGTTGGCGAAGCCGGACATGGTGATAGAGACAGATGCATCCACAATAGGCTGGGGAGCATCTTTCAACAATGTTCGAACAGGCGGACCATGGTCCCCACAGGAACGACACATGCACATCAACTGCCTGGAATTACTGGCGGCATCCCTTGCGATCAAGAGCTATGCCAAGGATGCTACAGATGTTGTGATCCATCTAAAGATGGACAACACGACTGCCCTGACTTACATCAACAAACTGGGAGGAACCGTATCACCGGAACTCAACCGGTTGACGAAAGAGCTCTGGGTGTGGTGCTTTCAGAGGAATATCACTCTCAAAGCCTCTCATCTCGCGGGTTCGTTGAATGTGATTGCCGACGAGGAATCCCGAGTGATGAAAGACAGATCGGACTGGATGCTATGCCCGAAAATCTTTCAAAGGATAAACTCGAGATTCGGCCCACTGGATGTGGACCTCTTTGCCTCTCGACTGTCCCATCAACTCCCACAGTATGTGAGTTGGAGACCCGACCCAGTAGCAATAGCCACAGATGCCTTCACAATGAACTGGAAAGTTTCGAACGGCTATGCCAACCCACCTTGGAACTTGATAGGCAAAGTCCTGCAACAAGTCCAACAACAGAATGCAGAGATTGTGCTTGTGGCACCGGTATGGCCGGGCCAAGTGTGGTACCCAATGCTATTGGACATGCTGATCCAAGAGCCTTGCCTCATAACGAGCTCCAGAAGCCCGATCCAACCAACTCACCCAGTCAACGAACCGGAGATAAACCCACCCCTAGCCGTGTGGAATATCTCAGGTCAAGATACTCAGCAGAGAACCTTTCGGGAGAGGCTTCAAAACTTCTCCTCGCATCTTGGAGACAGAAGTCTGCAAAAACTTATGATTCCCTCTTTAAGAAATGGGCATGCTGGTGTGTCGAAAGGGACATTGATCCCATTTCGGGAGATATAGCCGGCGTGGTTAACTTCTTGGCTTCTCTTTATCAGAATAAGTACCAGTATAGGTCCTTGTGTAATTATCGATCTGCAATATCATCTATCCACGACAAAGTTGATGGATACGAAGTGGGATCACACCCAATGGTAAGCAGACTACTGAAGGGCGTCTTCCATGAAAGACCACCCCAACCTAGGTACTCCTCAACGTGGGACGTATCAAAGGTCACAACATACCTGGTCTCACTAGGTCAGAACGAGCAAATGTCCCTCCAGGATATAACGTTCAAAATCACGATGCTGTTGGCCCTCACTAGGCCATCGAGATCGGTGGATCTTGTGAACCTTGATATAAGGTTCAGGCAGTTTAGCCCGGAGGGCGTAACATTTCACCCGACAAAACTGGCAAAGCAGTCCAGGCAGAACAAGAAGATTACAGAGTTCTTCTTCCCAGCATTTAAGGACAATGCACTACTGTGTCCTGTGCAAACATTGAAGGACTACGAAAGTAGGACCTTGGCGAATCGAGCTGATGATGAAAAGCAAGCTCAACTCCTGATTGCTACAATACAACCCTACAAAGCGGTGTCATCATCGACCGTAGCCAGATGGATTAAAACAGTTCTGGCGAAGGCCGGAATCGATACGGATATCTTCAAAGCGCACTCGGTGCGAAGTGCTGCAACTTCAGCTGCAGCAGACGCTGGGGTCACAACGACCGATATCCTCTCTGCAGCAGATTGGAGCAGTGAGAGTATCTTCCAAAAGTTCTACTACAAGCCTCAGAAGAACAACACCTTCGGGAAGGCTGTCCTGTCTACCAAGCTGTCGACCACTGACAAGCTACAAAATCACGTTGATATGGAGACAGAGCATTCTGAAATATAATTACAGAATGGCTCAGACCACGCAGTGGTCGCCAGCTATTCTGGATTATATGAAGAATGTGATGTCGAACATATCAACGTCCCTTCCCTCCCACCCGTCTACGTTGATATTGGGATAATGCACTTGTTAGAGGCTCGCTATCAAAGGCCGAAGAGCAAGTGTGGAACGGACAGTTTCGACAACAAAAAAATGTGCGCTTTCCAAGATGCCAAAGGGCATGCGCACAAAATAAAACACAAAATTCACATAAAACATGTAAAATACACTACAAACTAGCTGTCAAGTTAGAGAATTAGGCCAAACACGTTGATATGTTCGACATCACATTCTTCATATAATCCAGAATAGCTGGCGACCACTGCGTGGTCTGAGCCATTCTGTAACTCTTGTACACGGTCACACACCCGATGAACTGCTAGGATTTGCTGCCATATGTGACAGAAATGTCCTCTTGCTTTTGTAGCTTCGTAGACGACGAACACACTTGCAGCATGGCACGAGTCGTACGAGGCTCGTACCGTAGACGTAGTGGCAAAGATCGCCACCTGTTGTGCTCATAGCCTGTTAGCGTGCAAGTGCATGCAACAGCCATATCCTCATGATTGTACCTTTATACCAAGCATCTCTTGAAGCAGAGTTCTGCTCGTTTTCAGGTGTTACACCGTAGACCTCCGTGGTCTCGTAGATACTACAGTTGTAGGGACCCAAGTCCTTCCGTATATATCGGCATTGCGCATCTTGCATGTCGCAAACTCATATTCTGCGACAAGCTTCCAGCCGACTGGAAACTGTCCCAAGGCAAATGTATTAGAATTTGAAGTCGAAAGACGACTCAGAGTATTGACTTGAACAGACACGGAAGAACAATAGTTGTAGAACAGACACGGAAGAACAATAGTTGTAGTCGACAGCCTAGTGGATGCGGAACAAATGCTGCTGCCTGTTGTACTAGGCGGAAGAAGCGGACAGCGAGTGGACACTTCCGTTTATACCATAGGAGGTTTGGCAGACGGCGAGTGGACTTTGTCGCTTTTAGATATTGACGTGTGCTGAGACTGAGTGTTGTCCAATTGAAGGTAAGGAACCCTGTCATACTTCCAGTACTGGGTTCATGCACTTGATTTGTTCCTCAAGACCATGGTCATGGAACATAGCTCACACAATGATGTTTAGGGGAAATTATTATTACTATTATTATTTTAACTGGTTTGAGGGAAAGAGACAAACGGGAAAAGTCTGAAGAAAAAATTGACTGTCACCACCAGGACTCGAACCAGGGACCCTCGCTTGTAGCCATTATTATTATTATTATTATTATGAAGAAAATGTTGAAGGGCCTCTGCTGGGATGACGACTACACCATAGCTCAGTGGTTAGAGCATCGCTGGCTACAAGCGAGGGTCCCTGGTTCGAGTCCTGGTGGTGACAGTCAATTTTTTCTTCAGACTTTTCCCGTTTGTCTCTTTCCCTCAAACCAGTTAATTATTATTATTATTATTATTATTTGCCGAGTCGAAGGTTCGATGGACTTCTCGTGTGCTCTGGATGGCAGTCGTGAGTCAGTCAAGTGTCAAGTAAAGTCGGCGGAATAGCGCGAGCTCCGGTGTGGGGAGCAAACCTTTCTTACAAAATCATCGCCGAAGTCGCAACCACTACTTCGTATTATTATTATTATTATTATTATTATTATTATTATTATTGACTGGTTTGAGGGAAAGAGACAAACGGGAAAAGTCTGGAGAAAAAATTGACTGTCACCACCAGGACTCGAACCAGGGACCCTCGCTTGTAGCCAGCGATGCTCTAACCACTGAGCTATGGTGTAGTCGTCATCCCAGCAGAGGCCGTTCAACATTTTCTTCAGACTTCGTAACTCACACTTGTTGTTGTTGTTGTATACTTTATTTATAGTGGAAATCAAAACAGGCAAAATGCCTAATAACATTGGACCCACTGTGAATAACATGTTAAAGGATATTGTGGAAAAAAAAAGTAGATACAAGAGAAAAAGAGAAAGGAAAAATGACGGAAGGTTGGTTGCAACGAACAGATGAATCCAGTAAGCATTGGAAAACCTATGTCGCTGATAATATATACTGCAAGGCTTGAGATTTAAAATCCAAATACCTATTTGAACATTTTGCTGCTGGTGGCAATCTATTCCACATAATGGCTCCAGCGTGCGTTAGGCGCTTAGCAGAACGAGCAGTGCTAGCAGGTGGGACCACAAGCAAGTTGCTTTGGCCTCCCCGAGTGCGAGTTGAGGGCACGACAGCAAAAAAGGACTCAAACAGGGTGCTACATGCATCATGCAAACATCGCCAGATGAAACAAAACATATTCAAGTGCACAGAAACCTGTAGATCACATACACGCATTCGATTTAGCAGGGGAGCAGTACTGGTCCACGGTGGCGACTTGCAGACTGCCCGAGCGGCACGTTTGAACAGCCTATGTAGCCGTTGTTCCTGGGCAACTGTCAAATACGGGTAGTAACTAATAGAAGCATACAAAAATTCAGGCAAAACGATAGATCTGAAGTAGGTGAGTCGGCATGGATACGGCAGCGAGGAAGCATGTCGCAGCAGGACAGCAATTTTGCCGGCAACACGACGAGCAACATGGTCCACCATTGTGGTCCAACTCATGTCCGAGTCAAAATGCAGGCCAAGGTATTTGGCAGATGTGACTACTGGGAGGACTTGTGAATTGCATACAACATTGATGTCGAGGGCTGCAGCTCTATGGTGTGGTATGGCGAGTATCTGCGTCTTGGTCTCGTTAAGGATCAGTCCACGTTTCTTCAACCAAGTGGCCAGGTACTGAACTGCTGCAGTGAGGCGCTGGGAGACAACTTCTGGCTGTGGACTGCTCGCACGCAGCGAGATGTCATCAGCAAACTGAATAGTGGTGACGTCATGAGGGGCAAGGTCGCCGGCAATATCCCTCACATACAGAACGAAGAGCAAAGGTCCGAGAACTGACCCTTGAGGAACCCCTGACTGGCTGTCATAAGTTGTACTTCTGGTTTTTCCTGTCTCCACGTATTGCCGGCGATACATCAAGTAGTCTGAAAACCATTGCAAAGCAGTGCTAGTGAGACCCAGTTCAAAGAGGTCCTCAACCAGAATGCTATGCTTTACCTTGTCGAAGGCTTTAGACATGTCGACAAATGCTACTCCTGTGTGCTGCCCAGCGGCTTGTGCTTCATTGATGTTCTCTACAGCTAGCGCTAAGGCATCTGCTGTGGAATGCTGGTGTCTGTAACCAAACTGACTAGTAGGCAAGAAATTGTTCGTGTTGAGGTACTGCAGAAGCTGCTTATGAACAATACGCTCAAGCACTTTCGACACTATCGGCAATAGGGAGACTGGTCGGTAATTCTTGGGTTGGCTGGGGTCTCCAGCCTTGAACAGAGGCCGTATCTTACCCACCTTCATTGCCGCAGGAAACTGTCCTTCTCTCAATGACTTATTAAATAGTAGCGTGAGTGACGGTGCCAGGATGTCAGCATGCATCTGGAGGAGACTTGCTGGAATATCATCACTCCCAGTGGCTTTTCTGGTGTCCAACTGTTCCAACATTTTCCGAGTAGTTGCAATGGAGACTGGCAAGAATTCCGAGAAGTGCACCGCAGGTGGAGGCCCAAGGGGTAGGCGTAGCTGTGCAGGGCGAGCTGGATCTTCCACAACTTTCGAAAAAGTGTCTCGAATCGCATCCACCGTGCACTGTGGATCCCTGTACGTCGACTGTTTGCCTGTCAACTCCTTGATTATTTTCCAAGTCTCTCTGGCATTTCCAGTACATTGCTGAAATTTGGAGTTGTAGAATTCCTGTTTCCGGGTCCTGTTGTAGCTAGTTGCCGCACGTCTGGCTGTACTAAATTCATCATAAGTCTCCTGTGTCTTAGCAGAGAGCCACTTTCGGTGCAACCTATTCCGCTTGTGTAGTAAGTACAACAATTGCCGGTCAATCCATGGCACTGAAGGCTTCTTCGTTCTGTGATTACTTTGAAGTGGGGCATGGACATCCAAAACCTCAATAAACCGGCTAGACCACTCGGTCCACATGGCGCTTGGGTTGCCGGTAATACTACACAAGTTCTTCTGGGTTAAGTCACGCCGGAAGTGATCGTGGTTTATCCGGTGATAGTTGCGATATAAACGTGTGGTGTCAGATCCACGAGGCACAATGAGGTGAAAGTCACTGGCCACGGCAGCATGGTCACTGAAAGCGACCGGGATGATCTTCGCTGTAGTGGAAGGATCAAAATTGTTCAGTATCAAATCGAGGGTGCTGTCTTGTCCTGTTGAGCTAAATCGCGTAGACTTGTTGACACCGTGATGCAGAGCATAGCTGTTCAGCAAGTCAGATAAGTAGTGATACTGAGGGCACTTCCTGTGAATCCACACAGGCGGGTGGGACGCAGCCCTCACTGTAACCCACACACTTCACGTACAAACTAGCACGCGGGGAGCCCCAAGTCATAAAATATTGACTGGTATTATTATTATTATTATTATTATTATTATTATTATTATTATTATTTGAAAGTAGGACGGAGGCAGAAAATATTACAAAAAAAGTATTGTCTACGCATGCATCTACGTAAGAGTCACCACCAGCCAATTAGGACATGTGTCAAAGTATTGAACGTTTTCGTTCCCTTCTTGTCAAAATACTACAGGGAATGATGGAAATAAGCTAAAAGACTACAACTATAAGGAAAGAAGTTCAGAAATATATCACTCCAATTATGTGTAGAAGTGACACGAAAAAAATAGATGTGAAGAATCAAGAAAACCGCATGCAAATCCAATAAGTGACAAAAACGTAGTGACAAGAAAAAGAGAGAAACATCAAGAGATCTATTTCGCACCTTCACGACGAACAGTGCCAAACAACTGTAAAGACAACACATTCTCCTTCTGAACACAAAGCTCAGGGTCTAACTTACGTATGTACAAAGCTTCCAACACGGCAAGATGTAACAAAGGCCTACCACGCGACAAAACAGAGAATACATCATCGGAGTACCACTCACGACAACTAGCACTGCCCGACAGGTGACACTTGATTGCCGAGGTACCGTTTCCGGTACTATTTCCGGTACTATTTCGTACCGTTCGTCGTGAAGGTGCGAAATAGATCTCTTGATGTTTCTCTCTTTTTCTTGTCACTACGTTTTTGTCACTTATTGGATTTGCATGCGGTTTTCTTGATTCTTCACATCTATTTTTTTCGTGTCACTTCTACACATAATTGGAGTGATATATTTCTGAACTTCTTTCCTTATAGTTGTAGTCTTTTAGCTTATTTCCATCATTCCCTGTAGTATTTTGACAAGAAGGGAACGAAAACGTTCAATACTTTGACACATGTCCTAATTGGCTGGTGGTGACTCTTACGTAGATGCATGCGTAGACAATACTTTTTTTTGTATTATTATTATTATTATTATTATTATTATTATTATTATTATTATTATTATTATTATTATATATTATCATCGCTGGCTACAAGCGAGGGTCCCTGGTTCGAGTCCTGGTGGTGACAGTCAATTTTTTCTTCAGACTTTTCCCGTTTGTCTCTTTCCCTCAAACCAGTCAGTATTATTATTATTATTATTATTATTATTATTATTATTATTATTATTATTATTATTATTATTATTATTATTATTATTATTATTATTATTATTATTATTATTATTATTATTATTATTATTATTTTTATTATTATTATTATTATTATTATTATTATTATTATTATTATTATTATTATTATTATTATTATTATTATTATTATTATTAATAGCAATGAAAAGTATGAATGCCGCAGACATCACCACGCAACATGACAATTTGTTCAAGGTTTGGTTTTGTGTGTTTCCAAAATCGATTTTCACGTTGCGATCATCAGTGGAAATACGCAACTAAAGAGATCAAGGGAAAACAAAGGTTAAAAATCCAAAGAAGTGTGACACATGACGGGTAACTTGTGGTAAGTATTACAAAAAGTGAGAACTAAAATAAAGAGTAAGTGTGACAAACGGGCATGAACAGTGCAGAAACAA